GGTCCTAACATTAGTAGAGATAACGAAAAAGAGTGGCATTATCAATTATCAGGAGAAACAAAAGGACCCATAAGCTTTCATGAGCTAAAAAATCTCTGGGCCGCTGATTCATTGAACGCGAAAACTAAATGTTGGGCTATGGGTATGGACGGATGGAGGACCGTACAAAATGTGTCTCAACTAAAATGGGTTTTGCTTGCTAAGGGTACTTCTGTCTTAAATGAAGGCGATCTTGGTGCTACAATTCTTAATATTTTAATTAAAATGTGCGAGCATTATCCCAGTAGGTTGGTGTTTTTATTTTAATTTCATTTTTAACGACTCTAATAAATTTCGTATTTTTCATTATTATTTAAACAATTTTTTAGAGATATCGATGATGCTATTATTCGTCCTCTACCAAGAGTAAAAAAAATTCTTTCGGATTCCACATGTTTGTTACACATTGTGCAGTTACTTTTAACTTTTGATCCTGTGATAGTAGAAAAAGTAGCTATCCTATTGTATCTAGTCATGAAAGACAATTCTCAAATTACAACAATATATTTAACTGGAGTTTTTTATTTTATCCTAATGTACAATGGTTCTAATGTTTTACCGATAGCTAGATTTCTAAAGCTCACGCATATGGTTCAAGCTGTAAAAAATGATGATGTGAGTAAAGAATTTTCCTTAATAATTAAATTCAAACTATAATTATTTATGTTTTTTTTTTTTTTTTAATTAATCTAATAAAAATGTTCTACATCCAACTTTTATTTTTCATTATTGTTTTTTTTAATTTTTGTAAATTTTAAAATAAATAATTACTCTTTGTACTTTAAAATAAAAAAGTTAGTGTGTGCTATTTTAGTTTTTTTGTATTTTAGCCGTCTGCATCAGAAATTTTGCAACGCAGTATTTTGGGACCTTTACTTCCGGAAGCTATGTTGAGCTACTTAGAAAATCACGGTCCAGAAAAATTTGCCCAAATTTTTTTGGGGGAATTCGACACTCCTGAAGTTATTTGGAATAGAGAAATGAGACAACTGCTGATTCAAAAATTAGCAATGCACGTTGCTGATTTTAGCCCTCGACTTAGAAGTAACACTCGGGCTCCTTATCAATATTGTACCATACCTGCTATACGGTACCCTCAATTAGAAAACGAATTATTTTGCAATATATTTTATTTACGTCATTTATGCGACAATGTTAGGTATTTTGATTTTTCACTGTTGATCTTCTACGTTCTTTTTATTAACTATTTCTTGTTCGTTTAAAAAAAAAAAAAATTAAGTTTTATAAATCTATATTTAAACTTAAACATATTATTCTACTCAAACTTGATTTTGCCTTTCTGGATTTCCAAATTATTTCGAAGAATTGAAAATAATATTTTATTTTAAAAAATAAAGTTTAGTTATATGTTGTTAATATTGAATAATTTATGATAATTATTTTATGATTTATATTTTTTTAATATACTTTTTTTATTAAATTTAGGTTTCCCAACTGGCCTATAAAAGAACCAGTAAAACTATTAAAAGATGTTCTAGACACTTGGAAAAATGAAGTTGAAAAAAAACCCCCAGTCATGTCACTCGATGATGCGTACGAGATCTTAGGATTATCGAAGGGAATATGCCACGAGGAATCTAAAGTCCGAAAAGCTTACTATCGATTAGCTCAAATGTTTCACCCTGATAAAAATCCAGAAGGACGAAGTAATTTTGAAAAGGTTACACAGGCCTACGAATTTTTGTGCAGTAGAAGCTCTTGGTGCGGAGTAGGACCAAATCCTGATAATATTGTGTTAGTTCTTAAAACTCAAACTATACTATTCGATAGATATTCAGCAGGTAATTTATTCAGTTAACATGTGAATTTTTTTGTTACGGTTTGTCTAATTTACATTAAATATATTCCCTTAGAGCTCGAGCCATATAAATACGCTGGATATCCTCAGTTGATTAAAACAATACAATTGGAAACTTCAGATGATAATTTGTTTTCAAAGTCGTCACCCTTACTTTCCGCGGCAAGCGAATTAGCCTATCATACGGTCCGATGTTCATCTCTTAACGCTGAAGAATTAAGACGAGAACGGGGTCTCGATGTTCTCTTAGATGCTTATTCTAGATGCGTATCCGTTTTAAGTAAATCGTCAAAGCCGAATGAAGTTGCAGTTCAAGTATGTACTCATATAACTCGATGCTACAGCGTTGCAGGACGTTTTCAAGCCTGTCGAGATAAAATGGTCGAGATGCCCCAATTAATCAAAGATCTTTGTAGAATCTTACATTTTAAGGTATTTTTTTAATATATGATCACATTTTGACAAATATCAGTTATAAATTCTTAATAATAATAATAATTTTTTTTTTTTTTTTTAGCATCTCACAAAGTTATGCCTGGCTGCTACCGAATGCGTGGGATCATTGGCTGTAGACAGTATTTTACAAATGCAATTATTGCAAGCAGGATGTTTATGGCATCTTTTATTATTTATGTTCAATTATGATTATACTCTCGAGGAAGGAGGAGTCGAAAGAACGGAAGATGCTAATCAACAGGTAATATAATGTTCACTACAAATACGCTGTTGATTTTAATGTAAATATATGCTTATTTTATCTACATATTAATGACTACACTTTTAATATTTAATGTGTTAATTTTTAAATTTTTTTCTCATGACAGTTTTTTTATTAAATACGTATAATTAAAATTAAAAAAAAATTAGTTTTTAAAATTGAACTTTAATTTTAGGAAGTTGCAAATAAATTGGCTAAGTTAGCTATATTCGCGTGTGCCAGAATGGGAGGGTACTTAAAAGATGAATTTGAATCTCCTCAAAATGAATTGGCTAGAAAAACGTTTGAAAATTTGATAACTCCTTATGTAGCTCGACAGTTAGCTAATAATAATCCGGAAAAGGTTGTTTTTTTTTTTTTTTGTACAAAGGGTTTTTTTCCACCAAACATATGTTAATTTTTTTTTTTTTTTCTATTTAAAAAACTCTTAGGTATTAAAACTATTAAACAGCAATTCACAAAATCCATATCTTTTATGGGATAATAGTACTAGAGCTCAACTATTGGAATATTTAGAAGATCGAGCAACGAACAAACTTAATTTCGAGTGTTCTGATGTATCCTGTGGATCTGATTTTATGTGCACGTCTTATTTAAATGAGCTTAAAGTGGGAGATATTTATTTAAGAATTTACAACGAACAAAGTAATTTTCCACTAGACGTAAGTATTTTTTTACAATTTTACAAAAAAAATATATATATATATATTATGAAAAAATACGATTTTTTTCATTAAATTAACCAATTTATATTTTCTATAGGAGTACTCATTTATTATTTTATCTGGTAAATCATTGTTATTGTTTCAAAATAATGAGATTTAAAATTTATTTGTATTGTTTTTTTTTTTTTTTAAATTCGGTAATAAAATCAAAAATGAATGACGCGTTTTAGAAAAAAAAAATTATTAGTTTCTAATATTAAATAATTTTGTAATTATATAGAACTTATTAATTTGTAAGTTAAAATTTAAATGAAAAATATGTGATTTTAAGGGATTTATTTCGTTTCAGGATCCTAAAAAATTTGTTATTGATCTTTTAATTTTCCTCAAAGGAAAATATTATGAGTTAAAAAAAGCCAAAGGTTCACTAATTTCTGAAAATGAAGAATGTGTTAAACAATCAGTTACGGCACTTACATCTTTAAAAAATGTGATAATTAATAATGCTGGTAAAAATTTTTGTGATTTAAATATAAAAATGTTGACCGAAAATATATATATATATATATAAAATATTTTTATTTTAGGTGTTGAGGTGCATTGTATTGGTAATTATAAGCTTTTATTTTCCCTTTTGAATATTGATGATTTTCCAGTAGTACAAAAATGTACCATTGATGTAATTTATTGCACAACAAAAAATCACGACTGTGTAAAAGATATAGGATCTTCTCAAATATTGGGACATTTATTAATTCTATTGTTTACAATATCCGACACAGATTCACAATTAATTGTTTTAAATGTATTATATGATTTAATGTCAACTACTACGTTAGTCAAAGAGGCAATTATTAAAGGTAGTGTATTATAATATCATTTTATTTAAATTTCATTGCCCTTTATTGGTGTACGAATAAAATGGTTTTGATTTTTTACAGGAGGACTCCTATACGTATTGCATATTTTTTGCAATTCTTCTCATATCGATCTTCGAGAAAAATCCGCTGAAATCATTACTAGGATGGCTGCCGATAAACTTGTGGGACCAAAGGCTCGATTACTTGTTAGTCGTATTTTGCCACCGATATTCTTGGATGCCATGAAAGAATCCACCCAGGCAGCCATTCACATGTTTGACGGTAATCACGAAAATCCGGAATTAATTTGGGATGCGGAATTAAGGAAAACAATTTCATCTTTTGTTTGTTCCCTTTACCAAAAGTAAAAAGCTCATCATATCTTAATTTATTAATCATTTTTATCGTCATATAAAAATTAATAAAATAAATTTGTAGTTTTTTCGAGATGCAAAAGCAAAATTTAAATGCTGAGTGGACTCCACCCGACGATAAAACTCTTTCAACTATTTGTCCGAACGAAATTGTAGTTGCTGGAATTTATCTCCGCCTTTTTGTTGCCAACCCTGGTTGGACTGTACGTAGACCGAAAGAATTTTTAATTGAACTAATGGATACGTGTTTGTTACTCATGAGTAAAGAAAAACCTGATGTAAGTCTCTTATATTTTATTTTTAAATATTTGAAAACTGTCACATTTTAAAAGTGTAATTTTCACCTTTATTTTTTTCTAGTGAATTTAACGTGAAATTGACTCAAGATAAATCAAATACGTGTTGCTTATTTTATGTACATCTTTTAACTTTTTTTTTTTTTTTTTTTTTGGTGCACATCATGCTGACTACAAAGCAAGGTCTAAAACAATTATTTAAAATGTAATTTTTGGCTTATTCGGTAGGTAAACGTGTTAGAACTTTCTACCAATGCCCTGGTCGCTCTTTTACAAGCTCAGCCAGCTTTAAGTGGTCTTATTCCATCTCTTGGTCACGTTCCTCGATTGCTTCAACAAATGACACAACTGAAATCTAGTGCTACTTCCAGAGCCGTTGTTTTAATTTTACATCAACTTGCTCTCAATGAAGTAATTTTTAAAATAAGCTTTATTTATAAATTAATATTTATAGAAAGCTTATTTGTAAATTTTTTTTTTTTTTTTTTTTTTAGGAATGTGTTTTAGCTATTGGGCAAACGGATTGCATTTTGCCATTAAAAAAGGCTATGCAGACACGAAAGGATATTCTTGGAGTCGCTTGTGAAGCTTTAAATCGACTTTTTTCAATCAATAGTAATCAGTTAGTAAGGCAAGCATTAGAATCGGATTTAGTCTCTTATTTGCTAGAACTATTAGATAGCAATTTGGAAGTTGAAAATCCTGCAATGACGAAAGCTCAAATCGTTAAAGCTCTTAAAGCAATGGCAAAAAGTGTTCTGTACGGAGAACGTGTGTTAAACATATTGGAAAAATCACGAGTGTGGGCTGAATACAAGGATCAAAAACATGATCTTTTCATAACAAATACAACACATGGCGGTTATTTAACAGGTTTGTGTTGTTTACATTTCACTCGAGTAATTTTATTTGAGGTATTTATTTTACACCTTGACTATAAACCTTACCTTATAGTACAACGTTTTAATTGATTTTTGTTGTTGTGAAAAATTTGAAAAAAAAAATACTAGTACATTTTCTGATTAATAAGGAGTTTAAATTTAAAAAATTAATATTAAATAATTGTTATTAATTCAAAGAAGTTCACAAACAGATTACATGGTGTTTATTATTTAGGTGGCGTTTCTACCACTGCTGGTTATTTAACTCAAAGTCCAACTACCCTTATTTCTGAAGGACCTCCTCCAGTCGACAAAGAAGACTGTATACCTAATAAATCCGTTTTCTTAGATTGAAAAAAATATGGAAACAGTTAAAATTTCTAGTAAGTTAATTTTTTAAAATAAACACGAGGGAAAAAAACAATCATATATATATATATATATATATATATATATATATATATATATATATATATATGTGCATTTTTGGTAATAAATTTAAAAAAAAAAAATTTCAGATGTGCAAACGTCAATGATGTTATGTATTTATACAAACACACACAAAAAAAAAAATATATATATATATATACATAAATACAATTATATATATACAAGATATAAGAAATGTTAAACATATATTAAAACAATATATTTAATTTTTTAAAAAATTATTATTTTTAATAAGTGCGTGGGAACAAACAATCATTTATTTCTCTCCTCATACCTTTTTTTTTTTACTCATTTTCTTCCTAGTTTCATTTTTTTGTTACTTTACCTTAATAATAATAATAATAATGATAATATTCTTTGTTTTGATAATTTTCGAGACTTAATTTTTTATAATAAATTTCTGTTAATTTTTTTTTTTAAATTATTTTTTATTTAAAAAAAGCGCAATAAATCATACCATGTTTCATATATGAGTAATTTTAAAAATGTACCATTTATAAATTTTATTAAATTGACAACAAAAAAAAGGTTAAATGATTTTTTTTCTAACTGTTTTAGCAAATGACAGGAAGAATTTAAACGATGAAAATTTGTGTTCGAATACCTATTGTTCATCTAAAAGGATAAAAGTAAAAGAAAAAATGCTGCATAACAGAAACCAAAGGTTCTTATAATTTTATTTATTAATTAATTTTAAAATCGCCATTATTAATACTTTAATGTAATTTATTATCTTATTTTTGTTATTAGTTTGAAATTGATTTTTGAATCAATGTATTTTCAAATACTAAAAAAAAAAAAAAAAAAAATTGCAAATCATAATGATAATTTCTAAGTGTTTAAATAAATATTTGACGAGAATGTTTTATTGACGATTTTCCGAACACTTTAAGTAATAAATGAACTTAAATCTTTTGAAGGTCGTTTACTATACTCAGTTTTACTATCAGCTTCAATAAATGTTTTATATAACTCTAAATCATATGTTTTTATTTGCATTTAAATTTTATACTTGAAAATGTCGGCAGTTATTGTTTGCAAAAAATTAAATATTATATGTAGCATTTTCAGGTAACTACTACCTATTGCATCTGCTTATTTTTTTTAAATATTTATTTAATATTATTTATTATGCTTATTCTTTCAATTTAAAGTTTAGTCGTCATTTTTATTTGATTTATAAATTTTTTTTTTAAATAATTCATTTGTTTTTGCCTCATAAGAACTTTAACATTTTACACATAAATTTTACCTTAGGCTGTCTTTAATTATTATTTACTTGATCGACTTTTTTTTACAGGAATTTTACCTCGACAAGCAATAGTGCCAACGAAGTAGTACCACTAAAAGAAGTAAAAAGATTTATTATTGATTGTTTAAAAGCAGTAAATACAAATTTGAGGAATGCTGAACAATTGGCTGATGTTTTAGTTGCAGCAGATTACAGGGGTCATTACAGCCATGGATTAAACAGGATCGGTTATTTCTTTAATAAATAATTTTTTCAATGCTATAATTGTGAAAATAATAATTGTGAGGATTTGATTTATTTATTTTTAGAAATTTATGTAAATGACATTAAAGGAAATGTATGCAACCAAAATTCCGTACCAAAAATATTAAAAGAAACAGTTGCCACGGCTTGGGTTGATGGACAAAGTGGACTCGGACCCGTTGTCGGAAATTTTTGTACGGATTTGGCCGTGGAAAAAGCAAAAAATGTTGGAATCGGATGGGTCGTAGCAAAAAGTAATTTTTTTTTCTATAAAAATTATTTTATCTGTTATTTATTTATTTATTTAAAAAATTAAGTAAATTATTTACCATTAATTCCCATAAAAAATTGCTCCGTGATTGTGTCCTTTAGATTTTTATAATTAGTTGTCAAATCTTAACCTTGATATAAACAACTAAAAGTTTTCATTTTTTAAAAAAATTGATGAATTTTCCTATTTATAATTTTATATTTAATCAATGGATTATTTTACACGTTAAAAAAAATTTTTTTTTTTTTTTTCAGATTCTAATCACTACGGAATTGCTGGATGGTACACTAAAAGAGCTTCTGATAATAATATGATTGTAAGTAAAGAGTACTTTTAACAAAAAAAAATTTAAATATTAAATTGTTTTTAATTTGAAAATGATTGTTTTAGGGTATGAGTTTTACTAACACTTCTCCATTTCTTTGTCCAACTAGAGCTAAAGAGGTTGGTAATTCGTAATCGATATGCAAACAAAAAAAAGTTTATATATATATTTTTAATTTTTTTTTTTTTTAAATTATTACCGTTAAATTTATTATTTACTTAAGGCCGCTCTTGGTACGAATCCTATATCAGTTGCTGCTCCTGGGATATCAGATGACAGGTTTTTACTTGACATGGCCACAACTGCTGTTGCCGTAGGAAAGGTATACTTCTCAGCTTTATTTGAATACAAATAAAAGAATGTGTAATAAAGGAGTTTTAAATAATTTTTTTTTTAATTAAATAGATAGAAATTCAAAATCGAAAAAATGAACCCATTCCGGAAGGTTGGGCAGCAGATGAAAATGGACAGCCAACATTAAATGCAAGTGTCGCACAAAAAGCACGAAGGTTGATGCCTCTCGGTGGATCCGAACTTACATCAGGATATAAAGGTTACGGTTTATGCCAAATGGTCGAAGTATTTTGTGGAATTTTAGCCGGAGCGAATTATGGTCCGAAAATCAGAAAATGGGGAGATACAAATTCTTTAGCTAACCTCGGACAATGCTTTGTCGCAATTAATCCAGAATGTTTTGCTCCAGGATTTAAAGACAGGGTTTCAGATTTAAATAATATTCTTCGAAACTTAAGTCCTGCAGATTCTAAAAAACCCGTTTTGGTGGCTGGAGACCCTGAAAAATTTCGAATGAAATTAGTTGATAAAGAAGGTGGTATAAGGTACCACGTAAATCAAATTAAAGCCGCGGTAATTTCAGATAAACAAATTATTTTCATAAAAAAATTATTACGCTCATTGTAATTTAATGTTTTTTTTTTTTTTTTTTTTTTTTTTTCAGAATGACTTGGCAAAAAATCTTAATGTTGATCCTTTAAAAATGGAACCTATCAGAATTTCAGAATAAAATCAAAAAATTATAAGGTATTATTTATTTTAATCCAAAGTATCGTTTTTTTTTAATATTATTATTTTATAATTTAATAATTACTTAAACGTGGCTGTAAAATAGTGAATATTTAGTAGATTTAAATTAAAAAATGTCCAACCGATTTTACTCATTTTTTTTTTTGGAATGGAATTGTGTTCTTAATTAGTACACAAAAAAAATCAAAAACTTTTTTTATTATTATTATCTCATGAAATGCTTATTGAAAATTACTACTTTATTTGTTATTATGGTTTTATAGGTAAAAAATCAAAAAATGACGGCATATACTGTAAAGAAAAAAAATTAATTTAACTTTATTATTATTTTGTATTTTTACAATTAGAAATAGAATAACACTCATAGCCTACAAGATTTTAATTATTAATAATAAAAACGGAATTTTTTAAATTTGTTGTAGTAATAATTTCTTTTTTTTAAATATTTCAAATAAAAACTGAAAATTAGATATGAAATTAATTAAGTACAAAATGAATAGAAATTATCTTTATCACATAACCGAAAAAATATTTATCTTTGATTATTGTGAAAAAAAAAAAATTTTTTTGTTGTTGACAGCTTGTTCACACTATATTATTAAGCAAAACACTAAATTATTTTTTTATTTTCTACATTCAACCTCTTTGTTAATATTTAAAAAAAAAAACTAAAACTTTTTTTTTTTTTGAACAATTATATGAGTTTGGGTTGAAAAATAAATTGGTTTTCTGTTAGTATACTTTTCGAACAAAAAAAAAAAAAAAAAAAGAAAACAATTATTAGCTAAATATAGTCGTCACCCTTCAATTTAATTGCGGCCTCATACGAAGGTAATTCATCATCTGAACATCGTATTGTTTTCTTTGTTTTCGTATTATCTGGTGATGATGAACATTTTTTTAACATTTCTAAATTATCTCTTATGTTAACTTTAACGACGGATTCATATGCAGGAGGAGGACTTGGCGTTGGGGGCAAATATATTCCTGTAATTTCTTCCTAAAAACATTAAATTTAAAATAAATTATAAAATCCTTATTTAAAAAAAAAAAATTAATAAAACCCGTTTTATACATTTCACTTAAATATTTTTACAAATGCATTTAATAAACATCATTCGAAAACAAAAAAAAAAAAAAAAAATTTTTTTATAATAAACAATCGTTTATAAAAAACGACATATTGTTTCTTAAATTAAGAATAAAATGAGTCTAATTATTAATATTGATTTTTTTTAAATGGAAAATTTGTCGTTTAATTAAATTGGGTCAATTAGCAAAATTCTAATTTTCTTATACTCGTATTCATGTATATATATATGATAAAATCATGAATTTAATAATCAAGTTTTTTTTGGACAATCAAATTGAAATCGAATATATAAAGATGTTTAATTATTAAATTTAATACACAAAATAATGATAATAATAATAGAATTGTCGGGGTAGTTGGGAGAATGTTTATAAAATAAAAATTAATTAAATGGAATTTACAGGGAGTTTCTAAAAAAAATTTTTTTCTTTAAAAATTATTTTTAAGTAATTTAATTTTTTCGAAAGTTTTTCCTCATTAATTTAATTTCTTTTTTTCTTTTCAGATAGTTTCAATGAATAAAATTATTACATATATTTTTGGAAGCAACGTTTATACAAAAAAAAAAAAAAAAAATAGGAACGACGAGGAAGCCATGATGACGACATGCTTGTCGTACATTCAAATCCTTTAATTCTTTTTTCAATAAAAAAAAAAAAAATAAGAAGAAAAAAACCGACCAACGCAGACAGTCAATGAAAACCAAAATGGAAAAAATTTATTTTATAAAAATATTTCATTTAATTGTATGATGGAAAACTACACAAGTCGAACGAATTATCTTATGTAAAGGTAAATTTCATTTTATTTATTTTTTTTTCCACGTTTACCGGTTCTTAGACAAAAAAAAAAAAAAATAAAAAATAAAATTTAACGGTTTAAAAATATAAAATCTAACCTGGCCACTTAAAGTGAAAACTTCTAAATTTTCTTCCGACCACGGAAGAGTGTGTAATGAAACGGATCCTGTTGTTGATTTTAATTTTCTATGAAGAAATAAACACAAACCGACGATAAGCAAACTTAAAGTAATCATCATTGACCTAAAACATTATTATAAATCATAATTTATTTAAATAATTAAATGATTGTAAATAAGTTTGTGCGGAATTATTAACCAACTCTATCATACTTTTTCATAAATGCTTTTTTTTTTTCTAATGAAATTAATTTAATGCTATTAAATGAAATCGAACTTGAAAGGTTCACTAACTTAAAAATAGAATTTTTATTTTTCATATAAGGTAAGTAGAGAATAATATATTTACATATGAAAATGGTTTGTTTTACTTTAATAATTTGCCCATAGAAAATGATGGTTTATAAATTAATAATATTCCGTTTTATTTTTATAAAAAAAAAAAAAAAAACCAAAGTTAGTCTGAACATAAAAAAACCCTTTATAATATTATTATTAATTATTTTAAATTATTTATTATTTGTTATTGCGTTAAACTTTTCATTATTTGCGCAGCGAAATATATATTAATGAAAAAATTTTCTAACAATTTCCTAATTCCATTTATTTCACAAATAATATTATGTATATATATTTTTTATTTAAAAAATGAAATGGTTTAATTTGCAATCAGTAATAAATAAAAATTTATTTAAGGAATTTAAATGTTAGAAAAAAAATATATTATTAATATTTGAAAATATTTACCCTGCTAAAAGAGTATTAACTTCCGTGTGGTATATACCAGAATTGGGAATAGGAGTCCCAATTGATTTTGATTCTGATTTTCTTGTTGTTCTGTTAACAAGTAAATTGTGTGTTTGAATGGAAGCCATTATTGCTGTTCTTTGCGACGATGAACCCATATAGAAATTTTCCTTCTTTATTTTACAAATCCTAAATTTTTTTTTTTTTTTCAATATTTCCGATATACGATATTCAAAAAATAGGTATAAAATTTTCAAAGATCGATTTAAAAAAAAAAAAAAAAATTTTTTTTAATCAATAAAATAAAAAACTTTTTTTTTTTTTTTTTTTTTTTTTTTTAAGAATATATATATATTCAGAAAAATCGTTTTTTTTTTTTAAAGTTTTGTATTCGTGACTATGACAACTTAGTAAAAAAACGCAAGCGCTTAAATATTACTTTTTTTTTTTTTTTTTATTAATTTTTACCGGTTTCACCGAAATCAGCTTACCAAAAAAAAAAAGGAAAAAAAAAATTTTTTTGTGACTAAAATTTTTTGCTTATATATAAAATGATTAAATGAAAAAAATGTTTACCGATAGAAATTTTCTTCATAATTTCTAATATTCTTAAATCAATTGAAATTTATAAATCATTTATGTATATATATTTTGTTTCATATAATAATTCCCTTATAAAATTATTATTAAAAATTATTATTATTTTTGATCGCATATTAATTAAAATATAAAAATCTTATTTAATTGCTTTAATCTTTATACCAAAAAATTTAATTTAACTTAATTTAAGCCAAAATTAATAAAACGATGAAAAAAATTCAATTGAAGATTTTAAATTTTATTATTTGATTTTGACTCATTATGGATAAAACGTTTATTCCTGTATTTATTTAACTTAAAATTTTTAATTTCATAAAAAATTAAATTTAATAAATGTGCCTTATATAAAAATTGTTTAGACAAACGTTAGAATTGTAATTAAAATTTCATTTTAAGACATAATTTCAATAAAAAAGAAAAAATTGTCTTCTTCTACACAATTATTTATTTTTCAGTTTTATAATTGTCGACACTGTCTCGTGGACCCAGCTTAAAATGGTAAGTTATTATTTTTTAAAACTTTTTTTTACATTTTATTCATTTGAAGTACTTTACGTTCTTTAATTATACGACTTTTTGTGCATTTTGAATTTTCTTTTTCTTCTTTTTTTTTAGATTTTTGTAATTGTGTAAAAGTTTAATAGATTACCTTTTTGCGTGTTTTTAGCTTTCATATTCCTTTTTTGAGTTTTTTTTTCAGCATGGGAGTTTAGGTTGAAATGCAGGTTAAACTCCCGCGAGCGTCCCTCTCTCCGAAAAAGAACACAGAAAAAAAAATGCTCAAAATGGTATTGATATATGATATCTGAATCATTATCATT